AGGATGAGAAGGTGGAACTAGCCAAGCTGTTAGATCGGGTCCCTATACCAATCAAAGAGAATCTTGAGGAACCTAGCACCAAAATTAATGTTTTACTTCAAGCTTATATTTCACAGTTGAAACTCGAAGGACTGTCATTGACATCTGACATGGTTTACATCACACAGGTTGGTTTTGCCGCATTTTGAACTATTTGAGCATCTGTGCCAGAACATTATTTCTCATCCATCTTTGATTTCTTTCTTTTGCAGAGTGCTGGACGTTTAATGAGAGCTCTGTTCGAGATAGCACTTAAAAGGGGATGGGCGCAATTAGCTGAGAAGGCTTTGAGACTATGCAAAATGTTAGGCAGGCGGATGTGGAGTGTGCAGACACCACTTCGTCAGTTCCATGGAAGTCCAAATGAAATTTTGATGAAAATTGAAAAGAAAGATCTGGCCTGGGAAAGGTATTATGACCTCACTTCTCAGGAGATTGGGGAACTAATTCGTTTTCCTAAGATGGGAAGAACACTTCATAAATTTATCCATCAGTTCCCGAAGCTGAACCTGAATGCACATGTTCAACCAATTACTCGCTCTGTTTTGAGGGTTGAACTAACCATTACGCCTGACTTCCAGTGGGATGACAAAGTCCACGGGTACGTGGAGCCTTTTTGGATCTTAGTTGAGGATAATGACGGGGAAAATATTCTTCACCATGAATATTTCATGTTGAAGAAACAATACATTGACGAGGACCACACCCTGAACTTTACTGTTCCCATATTCGAACCACTACCTCCTCAGTACTTCATTAATGTTGTCTCTGATAGATGGCTCGGCATGCAGAGTGTTCTTCCTATTTCTTTCAGACACCTAATCTTGCCAGAAAAGCTTCCTCCTGCAACGGAGTTGCTAGATTTGCAGCCCCTTCCCGTTACAGCCTTGAGGAACCCAGCATATGAAGCTCTTTATCAACAATTCAAGCATTTCAATCCCGTTCAGACCCAGGTTTTCTCCATCTTGTATAACTCAGATGACAATGTCTTGGTTGCTGCACCAACTGGTAGTGGGAAGACCATATGCGCTGAGTTTGCCATTTTAAGAAATCATCAAAAGGTTCCTGATAATGCCATGCGAGCTGTCTACATTGCGCCTCTTGAAGCTCTTGCAAAGGAGCGGTATCTTGATTGGAAGAAGAAATTTGGGGAGGGCCTTGGAATTAGAGTGGTTGAGTTAACTGGAGAGACTGCAACGGACTTGAAACTTGTTGAGAAAGGTCAGATAATAATCAGCACTCCTGAGAAATGGGATGCGTTATCACGCCGATGGAAACAGAGGAAGCATATCCAGCAGGTTAGTGTCTTCATTGTTGATGAACTCCATTTGATCGGGGGTCAAGGTGGCCCTATCCTGGAGGTCATAGTATCTAGGATGAGGTCAATTGCTAGCCAAGTCGAAAACAGAATTCGTATTGTGGCCCTGTCTACTTCTCTTGCGAATGCCAAGGATTTGGGTGAATGGATTGGGGCTAATTCTCATGGCCTTTTCAACTTTCCTCCTAGTGTAAGGCCCGTGCCTCTGGAAATTCACATACAGGGTATCGACATTGCTAATTATGAAGCCAGGATGCAATCCATGACAAAGCCTACATATACCGCAATCATGCAGCATGCTAAGAATGGAAAACCTGCAATTGTTTTTGCTCCTACAAGGAAGCATGCCCGTCTCACTGCTGTGGACCTGATGACATACTCGAGCGCGGACAACGAACAGAAGCCATTGTTCTTATTAGGGTCTGCTGAAGAGATGGAGCCTTTTGTTGCCAACATTAAGGAACCTATGTTGAAGGAAACTATTCAATTTGGTGTAGGTTATTTGCACGAGGGCCTAAGCAGCTCAGACCAGGATATAGTGAAGACGCTTTTCGAAACAGGATGGATTCAAGTTTGCGTTATGGGTAGTTCAATGTGCTGGGGGGTCCCACTATCTGCACATCTGGTAGTGGTTATGGGAACACAGTATTATGACGGCAGAGAAAATGCTCACAGTGATTATCCAGTCGCCGATTTATTGCAGATGATGGGTCATGCTAGCCGACCTCTCATAGACAACTCGGGAAAATGTGTCATCCTCTGTCATGCGCCACGTAAGGTATATTATAAGAAGTTTCTGTTTGAAGCCTTCCCAGTGGAAAGCCATCTGCATCATTATATGCATGATAATATAAACGCTGAGGTGGTTGCCGGGGTTATTCAGAACACGCAGGATGCGGTGGATTATCTAACATGGACGTTTATGTACAGAAGGCTGACTCAGAATCCAAACTATTATAATCTTCAGGGCGTGAGTCACAGGCATCTTTCGGATCATCTCTCGGAGCTTGTGGAAAGCACACTCAGCGATCTAGAAGCAAGTAAATGTGTTGCCGTTGAGGAAGATGTTTTGCTGTCACCTTTGAATCTTGGCCTGATTTTTTCTTATTACTATATCAGTTATACTACAATCGAGCGCTTCAGTTCCTCCCTGACATCTAAAACGAAGTTGAAGGGTCTCTTGGAAATTTTGGCTTCGGCTTCAGAGTATGAGCTGATTCCAGTAAGACCTGGTGAAGAAGAGTTGATACGAAGGTTGATCCTTCACCAGCGTTTCTCCTTTGAGAATCCCATGTTCACAGATCCAAGCGTGAAGGCAAATGCTCTGTTGCAAGCTCACTTCTCTAGGCAATCGATTGGTGGTACCCTTGCCTCTGACCAGCAAGAGGTGGTTATTAATGCAAGCAGGCTGCTTCAAGCTATGGTTGATGTTATTTCGAGTAGTGGCTGGCTTAATCTGGCCCTTTTGGCCATGGAAGTAAGTCAGATGGTAACTCAAGGAATGTGGGAACGTGATTCGATGCTCCTCCAACTTCCTCACTTCACAAAAGAATTGGCCAAGAGGTGCATGGAAAATCCCGGGAACAAGGTCGAGACAATTGCTGATTTGGTCAAAATGGACGACGATGAAAGGCGCGAGCTCCTGCAAATGCCTGACGCACAGTTGATGGATGTTGCTCGCTGCTGTAACCGTCTGCCGGATATTGACTTGACGTATGAAGTGGATAACGGTGGTAATGTCAGAGCTGGGGAAGACATTGGCGTGCACGTCATTCTTGAACGAGATCTTCAAGGAAGGGCAGAGGTGGGGCCCGTGAACGCCCCCAGGTATCCTAAATCGAAAGAAGAAGGATGGTGGGTCGTCATTGGTGATACTAAAACCAATCAGCTGCTTGCTATCAAAAGGGTTGCCCTGCAGAGGAAGTCGAGAGTGAAACTCGAGTTTGCTGCCCCCGCGGAACCCGGAGAGAGAACTTATCAACTGTATTTTATGAGCGATTCTTATCTAGGCTATGATCTGGAGGAGGTATTCACGGTTGACGTCAAGGAGGCCGCAAATCTCGAAGATTGATGTAAGTTCCGATCATCGTATAAAGTCTCGTTTTTTATCCTTTTTTTAACATTTACTTATCTAGTTTCTGTTGTACAGAGTAATTTTGGGTAGTAAGCTGTGACATGGTGGTTGGGAAGAGATGTGCTCAGAGAGATTAAATTGTGAACGGATGGTCGCGGATGCCACTCGATGCATGCCACGTGGACAAAAAATATTAATTGTTCGTTTTCTTTTGGTGGGGCCCATTGTGTAAAGATTGAAAACTCTTAATTGTCATTACCACAGGTTGGTTAACTCCTTTTAATTACTGATATTAGTTTAGGAAAATTAATTTGGGGTTTAGTGATTTCACTAGTTAGATATATTTTTACTGATTTTTATGATTTAGTGTTGCATTAACATATTACTTTTGTTATTAAACTTTTAGTAGCAAGAAATAAAACAGACTTGAGGAAAATGATAAAGAATATTATTTTAGTTTTTATTGAGTAAATTTAATTTAACCAAGTGTAGGCTATTTTGTTTGATTGTTTTCTCTTGAATTATTTGTTTTAAGCAATTTTTTCTATTAATTTTTATGTTACATGTAATTATTGTACACTATATTGATATGGAATATATAATATATTTATTAAATTTGATATAATAGTTTCACTAAAAATAAATATTATTTTACACTAATACTTTTTGTTATTTTAATAGAACTTGTCATAAGAACAATATGTAAAAGTGAGTAGAACAAGTGTTTTTTAGGAGAGGAAAAGAAAAAGGGGAAAGATTCTTCTAGTTTGAAAGAACCAAATGGAGTAGAAAAGTTTAAGGGAATTCAATCTTTAAAAACTCAAGAATCTTAGTTATTTTTGTAAAAAAATATCAAACATCTTTTAATAGCTTATAAGCTCATAAACAACTTATAAAATATTTTTAAGAGCTTATAAAGTTAACCAAACAGGTTCGTAACTTTATCACAAGTTCGGCAGACTAATATATTCATATTCACAATTTGCATCCTTGAAATTACGACACTAATACAAATTCAAAGCCCGCAAGTGGTGATTTAGGTGGTGAAATAAGACGCTAATTCGGATTTTCGTTGCAACTCTGATTTGATGTGCATTTTTCTTTACTTAATATTCGAACATGTCTACGCTTGATTTTGTGCTAGCTCACTATTTAATAAAAATCAACTATTCCTTAAATCGACTGTTTCTTAAACCACATCTCTCCATATATACTAGTGCATCGACTATTAATTAATCTGCGTTCTTCCACCATCAGGACCACACGACAGAGCAACATTTACGTATTTCTCATAGGAAAAAAAAACCCGCCTCCATCTCCCTCTCCGACGCAATCATGAAAGATATTTTGTATCTTCCGTAAAAACGGTTGACTTATCTTGTCCGGTGAAATCACGTTGGACGATCACCATTAAAAGGTTGTGAAACGAACATGTGAAAATGCAACATGAAAGATCAAAAACTTAACTATAAATTTGGAGTACTCTGAAATGTAATAAAATCGACTATATATGTTTATTTTTTTTAATTACATTTCTCACAATTGTCAATTATGAAATAGGAAACGAAATACATCGAAAAAGTTCCTCACTTAAATTATGTATTATTGAATATAAAATGTGACAACAAACATATTCATTAAAAACCCAATATCCTTAATTTCCACCAAAGAAGGCACACATTTTAATTGTAGGTACACAAATCAATAAAATTAGTAAAGAATTCGAAGCAAATTAAATGATCAAGAAATTAAAAATTAATCCTCATCTTCCCCCACTAATGACCATAACACCCTCCAAATCCAAAATCTCTTGATCCTTGCACAACATATCAATCTGCTCCTCCGGCAAAGTTACCGTAACAGCCCGGCCCGGCCCGACCTCAGCCGTCGGCACCACCACAATCAGCCCTTCCCCCACCACATTCCCGTAACTATAGCTCACGTGGAGCGGCTTTTCCCCCTTAATATTATTTTTATTGTTATTATTATTATTATCGAACACCGCAGAATACATGATCGCTTCCCCATTCTTCTCCGCATCGACCAAGTGCTCGGTGCTGACGCACGTGATTTGGGGCCCGTAAACCCTAACCGGGTCCTCACCATCACCATCGACCAAACCCGGCCCGGCCCGGTCGACCACATGGCGGTGGACATACTCGCACACTTGCCCTAATTTGCCGCTCGACAACTCGTCAGCTTCCACGGTGAGCACAGAGAAGCTCAGCGCGTTGCCGAAATAGCCGAGGGGTATTTTCGTCTTTTGCCCTCGATTTCCCCTCGAGTCGGTGCATATCGAGATCGAGCGTTTGTTGTCGTCAGCAGTATGCGGTTCCTGCCAATGCGCGATTTTCGACCAGAGGAGCGCGACTAAGACGTCGAAGGGCGTCGCGTCGGGGCACTGGCTCCGGGCTCCCGACAGGCATTTCTCGACCGCGGGCCCGGAGAATTTCATCGTAACGGTGGCCATTTTTGTTGGTGGAGGAGTAGTATTAGTAGTAGGAGAGTGTGGTGGTGGGGTGGTGGTGTTTTGTGGGTGTGTGTGTGTGGGGAGAGTGAAAATAGGAGGGTAGGTTAGGGTTTGGGTAGAATGGTAATCTGCCCATGACTTGATAAGGAGAGTGGCGCTTGTTATATCTGCATGCATGTGAGTGCAGCTCAATCCTATGGCTAACCCTCCACATTTGAAATTGTTCACCTGCAATTTTTTTTAACCATATATAATAATATAATTTCAAAACAAGTATATAAAAAATTGTTTGATATTTTAATTTTTTAATGCATATCAAATCTTTGTTTGCCTTATTTGGCTGACGAGATAAAATTATTTAAGATAAGATAATACAATTTTATGAAACTAAAAAAAATGTGTAATTGACTAATTGGACTAGATAGATGATGTACAATACGCAATTTTTCGATAAACGAAATTAAGAACTTACCTTCTTTCACAGATGCGGGTCGATCCGAAAAGTTATGTTTGACTATTCAAATATGAAATACTAAGGTATAGTTACCTAATTAGTTATGTATTGTTTGTAACAAAAAGTAGACCTTAATCAATCAATCAATAAATAATTGAGGTAGGTGGATGTTGTGTTTACTATTTACAACTTTATCATCACTTAAGAAGTTTCGCGAGAAAGTTAAATGTACTGTTAAACCTCCATAAATTAATACGGTCGGGAATAACAAGATTCTATTAATTTAATGAAATATTAAATTATCAAATTAATAGTTGAATATGTTTTTTATCGAATCGAGACCATAATAAATTATTATCTAAGCGAGATTATTAATTTATCGAAATTATACTGTAATTAGCATAAATAGCAATCAACTCTATTGTGAAAACTAATTACAAAAATAAGAATACTCTATTGTCAAAGAAATTGTATTCGAGTTTAATTTAATTATTAACCAGTAATAAAAAAAAATAAAAAAAATTTTCCATTAAAAAAAAATAAAAGAATTGTAAAAATAATAAATAAATAAATAAAACAAACCCAAGTAAAACTAGAAAATAGAGAACCATAATTGCAAAAATTTTTAAAAATAGATTACGAGCTTTTTTCTGTATACAATTTGTTTTTAGGTGTTTGGAAAACAAATTTTTGTTTTTATTTTTCTAAAAATACTCTACTTTAAACTATAATTTTAAAAGTACTCATGTGCGCAGCTGCTTAAGCTACTTTAGTTGATTTCCCACGAATTTGCAAACACTACCCCAACTTTTAGAAAAATTATCACTTATCCTAACTTAATTCACAATTACTAACTTCAGCATTTAAATAAGTTTTTACAAACACCACCCCATAAGCAAAATTATTTCCCACTAAATTAAAAAAAAATGAAAAAAAAGTACCTGGATCCGAAACGGAGACCAAAAGCTAGGGTCAAGGGGCATATCCTCCCACACCGTCAGATCCCGTTCCTCATCCACGTCAGCAGATCTCAGCCATTCATCCACCGTGGCATCCACGCGCGCCTGGAGTACCCTAACACCAGCATCATTGCACTTCACTTGCCAACCACCTCCATCGGGTCCCCGGGTCAACCGACCCGTCACGACCGGGTACTCGTCCAGCACGTCGGACAACGAAACCCGGAAATTCTCGAGATCCGACGACATCGGCCCGTCGCTAAACGGGTTCGACCCGTAGTAGAACACGATATGGATCGTGTGGGGCCCCATTGATTGGTCCAGCAAGGACAGCTTGTGGACTTTTCCGGGTCGGGTCGGGTTGCTGGATACCACACTCAGTATCGACTCTACTTTCACTCTGCTTCTTTTTCCTTCTTCTGCCATTGTTTTTTTTTTTCTTTTTTTTTTCGGTTAGCCAATTTCAAACGAAGGAAATTTAGCAACAAGAGAAATTAAGTAGATGATGAATAGTTAGTTTACACGTTCATTGTGTGTGTGCATGTCGTTTCACATGACACTCTATATATATGTATTTTTTTTTTGATAGGAAAATATATATATGTATTAATGTATATGTATATATATATATATATATGTAATTAAGAGGAGTTAATGCTGGAGGGGGGTGGGTGGAGGGGCGTTAGTTGGTACTTTAATGGGGAAAGTTATTATGAATGAATTTCACAAGCGTATGAAAAATTGTGGCCTGCCTAACTTTTTTTTTTTTTTTGCTGATTTATCCGAACATGAGGTTGAGTTTACTAAATAAACCCTTCCTGTATTTATAATTATGGGTAAATTACGGCCACCTTATAAAGTAAGAACAAATTACGAAAAAAACTCTTATGTTTGGATAATTATGATCATCCATCAACTATATGTGCATCATCTTATTGGTTCATCCTAATTATGGTGTCAAATTTAGTGGAATCTTCTAGATTATGTGAAATATTGTATAGTTTGTAAAATGATTATAAGATGTGTCTCTTGACTTGTAAATATCAGCTTGTGGTGCATCGGAAACTGCATTTTTGCACAAAATGAGTACGAACTAGCACTACAAGAAAAAGTTGCATTAGCGACAATTGTGACAAATGTAAAAGTTTTTTTGTCATTTAATGCACACATTAAGTGACATCTTTTTTATTGTCACTAATAGCTCTTTTTGTTGTCACTTAATCATTATTTAGAGCATTAGCGACACCCCGTTAGTGACAAGCATAGTGACAACCTTTTTTGCCTAACTATGTGAAAAATAGGTGTTGTCACTCAATAGATTTTTTTTTTTCATAGTGTAGAGAACTGATATGCCTAATTGGGCCAACCCAATGGGCTTACAATTTATTTACCTACGGGGCCACGAGCCTAATATTGAAGACCACTATTACCAAGGCCCAATCACCTTCAAATAAGGTTTGGGCCCAACAATCTCATCTAAGCTATAAATAAAGGTTTGAACTCATTCCTTAAGGTACGTTCTATTATTCACAAGCAAGCTAGAGTTTTATTCTCTCTAACATCTCCACGATCTATACATCTGACTTGAGCGTCGGAGGGGTTTTCGTCGGATCAACCCCCGGCTTAGTTCACGTGTGTCTATTTCGCAGGGACCTCAGGATCATCAAGTTGTTAAGCTACTGATCCGCTTTGCTCTCCCAACTCGTTTTCTACACTACCCCAAGTAATCTAAGTAATTAACATCATCATTTTGGCGCTGTCTGTGGGAACGATGCAAACCATATCACGTAGCCAGCAAGATCCTCCTGAGGCATCCGCTCGGAGAGAGAACGACACAGCTAACAAGCTCCCAATCCGCGGAGGCTCTGGCTTGCCACCTCCTCCACGTGCTTCGAATCCGCCTCGCGAGGTTCAGGTGATCCCCCATCGGGACCCACCACTCGCCGATCCACCACTCACTGCTCCCCGAACGGTTCAAATAACCGAGGATGCGCTCCAGCGCATGATAGCAGAAGCCTCAACTCGCGCCGCCACAGAGGCCGTGACCCAATACATCGCCACGATGGGAGCAAATGCTCCCAACGCGATACCAGCACCTGCTCCACCTGTGGAGCCACCTATGGCACCACCGCTAGTCCAGAACCAAATAAGTGTCTCCTCCTCTACCTCGGACCCACGGTCCCGAATGCAACAATCTACTCATCGTCAAGATGCACGAACTGGGCGACGAGACCCACGTTCACCTTCAAGAGGCAACGCCACTCACCAACGAGCTCCTCCACACAATGGTGGAGATGATGAAATTAGCAGTCAGGTATCTCGCTCAAATCACCTTCCCCACATAGGTAATCCCATTGGTGGAAGGGCAATACCTCCAATAAGGCGCAATCCCTTCACTGTCGCAATAATCAATGAGATACTACCCCAACGGGTAAAGGTCTCGAGTCTACCGCAGTTCGATGGAACTAGTGACCCACATAAGCATCTTCAAAAGTTCTACGCCATGGCAGATCTATATGGCCCAACTGATGCGGCAATGTGCAAGATGTTTCGCATAACGCTCTCCGAACGAACATTGAGCTGGTTCAATACCTTGCCCACTAGGTCAATTGAAGCTCTCTCCCAACTAACAGATCGCTTCACCCACCATTTCGCTATCAACAAAGAGTACGCAAAGACTCCCGCGTACTTCTTCACTATCACCCAGAGAGAGGGCGAGACCCTCCGCAACTACATTCAACGATTTGTAGAGGCATCTCACAAAGTTCCTAACGTGGGAGGAATCATGCTCGCTGGATTCATTCAGCAAAACTTGAATGAAGGTAAATTCAATGAATCTATTGCAGGAAGACCTCCAACCACTCTGGAAGAGTTACTAAGTCGCGCTGAGAAACACGTGCGCATCGAAGAGGCTTCGGCCCTTCCTCATCCCAAGAGGAAAAGAGATGAAGATTACTTCAACACCCGGCGACGAGATGGCCGACGACAATCGTCAACATCTCATTGATAATCTCCTTCTACGTCCTTGTACTTCCAATGATGTCAATGACACTTGGAGTCTATCGAGCCCATAACATTGTTCGTGATCACATCATCCTAAACTGGGGGGCTATCATACCTTAAGGATGATAAATCCCCTCATCTCTCGACATCAATTGAACGAAACACCTACATCATCTACTTAGTACAAGTTTATTTATTTCGAGCGATTCGCTCCCTACTTGTTTATTTACCTTCGCCTCAAGTAGGCTCGTAAGCTTCACCTTTTCGATCAATGAATAAAGCTAGTTATTTCCTTTACTCTCGGTGTTATTGCTCTTTCACCACATAATTATTAGCTCAAGTCAACATAAAATCTGGGGGTTTATAGTGCCCTCAAAATATTTCGTTCGCCAAGGGTTATCGACTCCCTGGGGGTTTATAGTACCCCCAAAATATTTCGTTCGCCAAGGGTTGTCGACTCTCTAGGGGCCTACCTCCGCCCCCCCTCAAACGGTTCAGATAACCGAAGAGGACCTTCAGCGTATGATCGCCGAAGCTTCAACAAGATCAACTTTTACTTACTCCTCTAACGGTTCAGTTAACCGATGAGGACCTCCAGCGTACGACCGCGAAAGCTTCAACTCGTGCTGTCACTGAAGCAATGGCACAACCGTGCGCATCCACCTCATACTAAAGTGGGGGGCTATCATATCCCAAGGTTGGGCATCACCCTTACCTTTCAACCCCGAGTGGGTTTACATCACATCTCAAGAGACGAGTGTAATCTCCCTACTCAAAAAATAGAACATCACCAAGGGGTGAGTATCAACAACCAAAAAAAAAAGAGAAAAAGAGAAAAAGAAGAAGAATTAGAAGACGAAAGAAAGAAGAAAGAGAGAAAAAGAAGAAGAATTAGAAGAAGAAAGAAAGAAGAAAGAAGAAGAAGAAGAAAAAAGAAAAGGAAAAGAAGAAAGAAAGGAAGAAAAAAAAAGGCAAAAGTCAAAATTGCTGACAAAGCACGGGCGTGTGTAGCACATGCGCCGCCCTCGGTCCACGCGCGTGTCAATCTAAAAAAAAAAAAAAAAAGGAAAGACTCGCGCGTGTCGCACACGCGCCAGACGCGCGCACGTGTCATCAGAAGAGAAAAAAAATAATATAGAGAAGCGCGTGCTCACACGCACCTGCGCGCGCCTTCCCATGCACGCGCGCACGCCTTCCCAAGGCCACCTTGGAGCGCGCACTCCCATTAGATCGCGCGCAACTTTTACTACTCTCCACCAAATTGCGCGTAGATTTTGACGCGCTTCACCAAATCGCACGAGAATTTCAACGCGCTCCACCAAATTGCACGAGCTCTCCAGCGCGCCTCACCAAATCGCGCACGCTCTCAAACGGATAAATAAAAATTATAATTTCTCCACACCACCCCAGCAATCAACGGTACATCACGACACCGATCTACTCTCGACACGATCCAGTATCCTTTTCGACTTGGCTCCCACATCGACTCGAGAGTGGGGGGCTTGCGAGACAACTCCCATGACGAGCAAACTCGCTCGGTCCTACAAATCCGTTGCGAGATAACTCCCATGAGGAGCCAACTTCATCGGTATTACGAACCCGCAGCGAGACAACTCCCACGAGGAGCCAACTCGCTCAGAACTACAACCCATAGCGAGACAACTCCCACGAGGAGATAACTCGCTCGGTCATATAACCCGTTGCGAGGCAACTCCCACGAGCAGCCAACTCCCTCGGGTGTACGAAACCACAACGAGATAAATCCCAAGAGGAGACCACTCGCTCCATTCTATAACCCATTGCGAGACAATTACCACGAGGAGCCAACCTTGCGAGACAACTCCCACGAGGAGCAAACTCGCTCGGTCCTACATGGCCGTTGCGAGGCAACTCCCACGAGGAGACAACTCGCTCGCAATTCACTACACAATCGCAAGCTCAAGTTAGCACGATTACAACCGTAGAAACACTTAGAGATATTATGATAATCGATATAGCCTGGCCAGCTTGATTACTCAAATTTCTCTACTTGTTTTCGACGAGTCCTTCATTAAAATGTGGCCACGGTCCAAACACACTTACGACCCACGAGGTCTAACAAGGGGCACAATCCCCATAAAAAATCTTGAGAGCCTGATCCCCTCCTCAAGTACATCACGCACAAGGCTATATGTAAACACATACAAGTAACGCGTCAAAACATTGACAATGTCGATAAATAACAACTCCCACGAGGAGAATACTCGCACCGTGCTACTACATTATCGCGAGACAACTCCCACGAGGAGATAACTTGATTCGAGCTACTACATCGTCGCGGGACAACACCGACGACTCAAGTAACTTACATCGCGACAACTTGGTCGCGCTACGCGCCAACGCGCCTTCACGCCCCTCCGACACACGCTCCAACGCATTTTCGCACACCATCAGGCCATACACCAACAAGCGACTGCTACAATTTTTACTCTCGACACGATCTGTCGTCCATTTCAACATGGCCCCCCTACATCGACTCGAGAGTGGGGGGATTAATGATATGCCTAATTGGGCCAACCCAATGGGCTTACAAT